ATTTTGCTATAGAAAACGAACAGTTCATACAACACAAATAATTCTTGTAATTATTCTGCAAAAATAAATATTAATAAAATAAAAATTAATAAAAGTATTAAGGTAAAGATATAAAAAAAATCAATTTACGAGATAATTTTTTTGGCACATAATTAACATAAAATACTAAATATTCGTAAACAATTAATTTTTATATAATCGTACCTTAATTTACAAACAGAATATTGAGGTGAACCAATTGGAGTAAAGGAGATATGTAATTACTTTAAAAAATATATTTAGGCAAAGTGGTTAATTTTTTAAGTAAGCAATTATATGTGTTTTCTTTACACCAATTAATTTGTCTCATATTATTTTGTTCATAAGAGTATTAAGGTATGCGAACAGACATTTTACAACGTAGATGTTATGTTACTTTTAGTAGTTTTAATTGGTGCCAAATGGGTTGTTCTAGCTCTACGTATATTTATACTATATAGGAATCTATAATAATGTATTCATTCATTATAATGCATTGTAACAAGATCGCTACAATAGGCGATGATAACCGGCCTAAAAACCGCGATTACGTGTCCTTTGTGTCAACAGGTGCGGCGTTCCGCCACAATGAATGGCGTGAATTTAGGCACGCGTTCCGCGAACGGTTCGTTTTTTCGTCGTAATGGTGATACTAGTGATAAGTGGAAAATTACGGAAAAAGTGATTGTGTGTGTCTTGTTTTGGGAGTGCCATGCAGGAGAGGAGGCGGAGGCCGGGGAGGCATCGGGCGACGGCGGGGCAACCGTGGGTAAGCATTTGTGATTCATTTAAAAAATTATTGTTATCTATGAAGTGTAATTTTTCTGTTAAGTATTTATTTAGGGATAATTATTTTATAAAACGTTATTAATTTTTTAGACAATATTTAATATTTGATAATATATTTGTATTTTACAGATTTTTATTATATACTTCAACCTCCGCTGCTGCGCATCGTACTGATGAGCGTTTGATTATTTTTTATGTCACTTTTGAAGCAATTTGAGGAGAAAGATGTGAAAGCGTTTTCCCAATGATTAAATATATTTAAAAATACCAATTTGCATTGGAAACAAAAAAGAAGGTAATTTATATAATTAGATAATTTATATAATATATGTATATTTTTAGGGTATAGTTAGTTCTGCGTGCGATGCAATACGCCAACTACTAATTACAACGATTTAGGTCGCTTAGCGCGATGTTCACTAATAGTAATCGCGTGTATTGAAGGTCGTATCGAAGCAATTCTACGTCGGTAGTTTGAAGCGATAAAATAAGGATCTTAATCGCGATTTCTATTTTGGATTGTTATTAGGCCATAGTTCTTTTGTAGTGGGGAAAGGATGTAAAGTCATTTACGTGCAATGTATCCCAAATTTCTAAATTTCCTAATTAAATATTTTAACAATTAAAATGTAAAATTTAATTTTTGCCGAAATATAAAAGCCGAAATATAAAATATTAAATATGGTACACAAGGACTCTCTCTCCTTAAAATATCAAAAACACCTAAATCTGGGCTAATGAGAATCAGCGCGAACGGAGGTGCGCAATAAATCTTTTACAAATAATTTGTTAATCCATATGATAGGTTGATATCATCTTTATTGAATCTTGTTACAAGATTCAAAATTTCAAATAAAGATGATATCAACATATCATATGGATTAACAAATTATTTGTAAAAGATTTATTGCGCACCTCCGTTCGCGCTGATTCTCATTAGCCCAGATTTAGGTGTTTTTGATATACAAAATATTGATATCTCAATTTTAACAACTATTTTTTTTTAATTTACTTGCGATTAAAAGAATATTTAAAGGGATATCTTGTCTTACCGGTATATCCTAAAATATACGGAGGTGCCTTGTACGATCCAGTTTCGCTAGGCCAATCTCTTCTAATTTCTTTATCTTGAAGAGTTGGTAACTCGGCTTCTCTACCGGACTTTGGTCTATATGGTCCAGTCTTAAGAATCTTCTTTTCTAATAATTCCTGTGACAATACAAAATTATACTTTTAACTGTGCAACTTGATTATTCGTAATATTTTGCGAGTATTAAACAATCCTTTTTGTTCCAGTTTCTCTATATACATACATCTTCCTCATTTTGACAATTTAATTCATTTCTATTATAATCGTTTTGATAATCTTTCGATTTTGCGTTTATTATATAATCTTCTTTACTCAAGTTTCTCTATAAATAAGTACATCTCTCTCATTTAAAAAATTTAATTTCCAGTTTTTTGGTATTTCTCATCTTACCTTCATTATCTCTTCTGTACTCGCTCCGAATCTCTTTCCAACGCGAAATTTGAGGGTGGGACAATGACCCGTGTACCTAAAAATACGTGTAACTTGTAGTAAAGGTAGCACAATATGAATTTTAAAACATAACAAATTTAGATGTAATGACACTGCTGCGTTCCTCAAAATTCTCTTAAAGAAATTGAATTTTTCTTGAAGTAAGAAATTGCGTATTAGTATTATGATATTGTTTCACTATTGTGACAGAGTATTACGACAAATCAACTATGTAATGTTTGATGCAAGATTTTTCGATCAATTTGCAGTCTGCTTTCCCATGACCAAAATATGATAAAGAAAGAAATATAGTGGACGACAGTGTAGCGTGCAAAATTATGACCTATTACGTGAACACTGAACATGTTATAGCCATTTTTCTGTCTAGTGAAACGTATCTAATACCCTACAATTAGATATCTTATGTGATATATCAATGTACCTATATATGGGAGCTTCTTCGTTAGAATCTATACTCATGGTTATATTGCTACTTACTACGACGGTGTAGGATACAATGAAATGTACATATTCCGAGAAAAAAAATGCGTATTTGCACGCGAGGTATACTTGCCTACTTGTAACTTCTGTATTAAGTATACCGTAAATAATTAAAATAGCATGATTCAGAAGAATCGAGATCAATGAATCTTAAGATGAAGAACGTGAACTATACTGAGAAAAAAGTTGTTAACTCGATTAATTTAGTTTATTTTTTGTTGAAGAATGTATGTTTAAGTTAAATTTATATTACATATATATTATAAATGACTTAAATATATATATATAACGGAAAAAATAAAGACTAAACTAAACTAATTTAGTCAAGTTGACAACTTTTTTCTTAGAATATAGGATAACATATACATATATTGTTAAAAGACCAAAGTATATGTTTTAATTATTTCGTCACGAAACTTCTCAGAAATGTTTTTACGAATTAACCCGAAATTTAGAAAAATATTTTCAGTTACTTGCCCTGCATTTAACATTTATTAACTGTAGACTGTGTGGACATCGCTTTAAATGCTTCTGAGAGAATGACACGATCACAGCCGATCCCTAAATAAAGTAATCGCAGAACCGTAAAAGCGGACTACCGGTGACCCAGTAAATGGAGCCTTCACTTTGTAGCGGTCACGGTGGGATAACCAGCTGAAGTCACTCCTACACGGTTGTCACGAGTCTCGACTATTAAGATCTGCATAAATCGTATCTAGGTCGTTGAACTATCTTACCGTGTCTATATCACAAGATCAGTGTCAAGAAAGTGAAGTCTCTCGATATTTAGCAGATCGTTTGAAATATTACTGTTACAGGAAAAGGATGGTTTTGCTAAAGTATCTAAAATTTAGCTAAATACAGGTCTGAAAATGATTTTGCTGGACCATCAAAATTATTAGAATAGAATTTACTTCTCTTCAGTACCAAGGACTTGATTCAACTATGATCTTACCTCATTTGTCCGTCCATACTTTTATCAGAATAATTATATAGAATACTCAAATTAGTTGCTAGAATGTCAAAGCTTTTTGCATCCTTGCTTATCCTTGAGATTACTATGTAATTATTTTAATAATCCAAAATTATTTTCAGATCTGTATCTAGCTAATTTTGTAGATACTTTAGCAAAATTGTTTTTTTCCGTACAGGTTTCTTCGTATTTAAATGTACAAGTTTTACTTCTTTCTTATTGCATCTCCAATAAGTGTTTCTTCAAGAAAAGTTTCTTCTATCTCTTTTATAATTTACAAATTACTAGTATAATACTTAATATTCTAAAGAAAAAGTTCAAGATTGTATATTAAATTCGAGATCGGTAGTTTTTAGAGACTTTCTTTCCGTTTTAAGATGCAAGTGAAAACTAGATCTTTTCATGAAGAAGAAGTTTTCGATAAACCAACTTGCTCGCTATCGGTCATTTCTTGTTATCCATTTTTGTTGTAATGAGAAAGGTATAATAGCATAAATCCGATAGAAACAGTTAATTGGGGCGTTTCTATTTTTCTCAGACAAAGCCTTTTCTCTCGAGCAACTCGTCCGTCCGTTTCGATCCGCGTCTTTTCTCACTTGGATCGATATTCCGGAGCTAAGGTAAATCATGATAAATAGTTCGAGGTGATTTGCCATACAGAAGGGTAGTTTTGCGCATGATATAGCTTTATAGTGGGGGTGTGAGGGTGTAAATTGGCACGGTACCAACCGCGGTACCACCGCTTTCGAGGTCAATACTTCGGGTATGCACGCTTCCGGTGGGTCATCCGGTGGTGATCTAGTTCGAATGCGATATAATCTGGAAATCGGGACACATACGCTACTTCGATTTTCTTGTCCGATGTCCGCGTGATCAGTAAATATTGCGAATGCATAATGCATTTGATGCAATATAGATATATGTACGTTATAAGAAAGGCCGCTTTACTGCGGTTGATTTTTCGCGTATCATCATATGTATTAGTTGATATTCAGAATCCTAATTATATTACATTGAATATCAAAGATTATAGGTGTATCTGCGCATAAAAGAAAATCTTATTTTAAGTTTCATATATTAATTTTTATAATAATGATGTATTCTATAAAGGCTTTTGCACTATTAAATTTTTTACAAAAATTTTAAATAGATTAAACTGACATCAACATCTTTGGAATATCTTCAATTTTCGAAAATCATAAATTTATTTAATATTAATCTCTCTCTCTAATTAAAAAATTCTAAACTTCGTTTTTATTCATCTGCATGATTTCAGAAATTCATCATAATTTTTATAATTGATATCTTATATTCTCCAATTAATTGTTTTCAAATTCGTAAACCAATTAATTAGTTTATAAAATTTAATTAATATATAACAATAAATACTTTGTAATCATTTGCAATATATTATATATTATTCGTATATTTATTTTTATTTAAGTTTTAAGATATTATCACGTGGGTAATTTCTAAATTTCAAATTTTCTAATATCAAATTATTTAATATCATAGCCGATATCAACAGATTTCATTAATGGTTTAAATATCGTTTCTGCGGTTTCTGTTATATTGGACTGAAAATCGAGTCAGTTAGAATTAGATCGTTCGCGAAGAAAAAATTTAGATTTGATCTCTGTGCAGAACAGGCGTGATTTCATTGAAAATCCTTCAATCAGATGTGGTTTCCTTGTGGAATCAATTTCACGCTTTCTGCGTTTTTATTAAGTCGTAAGACTAAACGTTCTATTTATACGTTATCATTTATTTAAGTATTATTCCAGTAAATACAATTTTTAATGCTACAGATACAAAATATTTTACGTAAAATAAAATAAATTTTAGATTTGAAAGCAGTCAAAGGAATAGCGAGAAAAATAAAAAGAGAATTGTGACAAACTATAATTTTCGTCGCAATAAATTAAAAATAAGATTCCGATTATTTTAATTAAGAATAATTACTTATTTATACTGCCGCTAATAAACACGGAGATTTTTTTGAATTTGGAATTTTGTTGAACTTAATGTTCATACTTAGCGTAATTATTTGTATGTTACTTATAGCCGCTTATTCACGAACAAATAATGTGTGTGTGTATGTGGATATTAAATATTCTCTCCATACATTTTATATCCGTGCTTTAATATGAATATGATTGCGTGTATAGAGTTATGGTACCGTTATCGTGCACATACATACAATCCAGCATAAAAACTAATTGTAAGATTAAACTTTCTTTAAAGAAGTAATGATATTAATATCGTGGTGTAGTAATTCATGCGTAATTTAACAAAGTTTTTGCAATTGCGCATACAGCATATATAATTTTTGAGATTTAATTATTATCATCGTCCGGTTTACGTTTTTAAATAACAGTAAGTCAAGAAATTTATACATTATTCATTATTATATATATTATAACTGTATAATTTTTTTTTTTGAGAAGCATATTATTTCGCAATTTTCATTACGTTTGTAATAATAAATAAATGAATATTTAGATGTATATTTTCATAATAACTTTCTACTATAAGTGAAATTATGTACATACATTTGCATGAAAGATAGGACAGTTTTTATATATATGACACTTTCATTTATAATTGAAGATATAGAACGAGTGTTGTAAAAATAAAAAAGATATGAGAAAGTTGACGTTCACTTATCGAATAGATTTTTTTTACTTTATTATCGAGTAAATTTGTCCATGATCAATGAAAAGTTGTGTGCATGTCGCGTATAATATCCATTTAATTACGAACAGTTGTTTGACGCCATGCATCTTGCATGCATTACGTAACGTAAACGAGACATTTAGTACCTGTCATAACGATGCTAAATTCAATTAGATTCTTATAATCGTTAAACTAATTCTAGTGATAAAGTTTTTATCACTAAAAACAATGTTACATTATTATTTTCTTATTTCTAACGATATATTGAGCGGTTCAATACTTGCTAAATTTTATTTTGCTTTCATATTTGATTAAAGTATCTCAATAATAACTCGCAATCGCCGAGTTTATCGAGAGTATTTTAATATTTTCAATACGAATATGTAATTTACTTCAATATTTTAATATTTTAATATAAAATACAAATGTCTTCACAGGACATAACACTGAGAGAAACAACTGATTGCAGTTATCATAATTTAACTATAATTATTTTGGCGGCACTTTATGAATACAATTATTATTATTACTAACGTTATGACAGTAATAACTATAAAAATTAAGCTTCTAATCATAATTATTATACTATACAATTATTGTCATAAATACCAAACAGTTTTCTCTCAGTAAACATCGAGATAAACATGCAGTAAGGATTCAACAGTTTTGTAACAAACGTAAACAAGATGTAGGAGGAATCGATGAACAGAAGAGAAGTGCCTGTAATAGCGAATTAATCGCGGATTGAAAGCAGTGAATGGAGCAATTAATTGATCATTGACAGATTACACTTACCCGGGTAAATGAGAGCCATAGCTCTGTCTGAAAAATTGCTTCCTCTGCTCCTCGCACATCGCGTCGAACACCATTTTTTCTATCGATTCTTCTCACGTGTAGTAAATGAATCACAACGCGACGACGCTCAACGAGATTCTCGACCCGAGATTTCCTCTCTTCATGTTTTTCTCCTGTTTTTCTTCCGTGACTGAATATGCGTTTCTACCGGAGCATAATACCTTCTTTTTATCGTCTACAATATTCTTCTTATCCTATATGTTCATCGCATACTCGGCGAAAATCCTCTCTCGTCATCCGTTCTTCATTCGCTCGATCGTTTGCAGTTTGCGACGGTCGATCACCATCGAGGAACGCACCCGTCGTCAATTAGTGTCGATCCGAAATCTTCCGTCTGTGCCGCAGCTGGAATCGCTATTCGAGCGATCGTTAAGACCGCAATTAGAGGGGATCGTCAACCGGTCTGTCGAACGTTGCGCGACCGCGCCGAGGATGATCGTCGACTGGAAGCGATCGGGCCATCCGCCGCTCGATCCACGGTCGGCCGGGAGGGATCGATCGAGGATCCTGGCGTCGGCACCGACGGCGATCGCGCGAACCGTTGCACACGCGTTTGCCGGCGCGTCAGTGAAACAATACTGTATATAGCCGACCCGAAGATACATAGTGCTGCAAGCCGTGTCCTACTAAAGACGCCCCTCCATTTCAGCGCACCGCCCTTTAAAGGGTTCGACACACCATCGAAGTCATGTCAGCGCATATCCGCACCGCTCAATCGTGCGGAACGCCGCGGCTTTGGTACACGTGATTGTCGGATTCACCCTCGGATTCATCCTTAAACGCGTTATCGGTCATTAACCCCTTGCTGCGCCTCGAGTCGACGTAATGGTTTAGGATAAACTGTTAAATTCCTAGTGTCGAATTATATCCAATTTGATTGGTTTTTAATTATATTTATAGGTTCGTCACTGTGTTCCTATCCTATTCATTTAACTAAAACAATGCAGTTAGACAATTCGGTCAAGAAAATATATTTAATTTGATTGCAAAATTTAGTTTATTATTTACTAAGTGCATTAAAAGCGACGTTGCTTACTTCGAAACTAACCACAGAAATGGATTGATTTACATTTTGACACAAGTCAAAATGTAAATCAATCACTTTGACGCACTTTGAAGACTAAAAATAAAATGTTATTTAAGAGAAAGAATTGATTTATCACATTGCTCCTTTGATATCTAAAAATACTGTAATAGACCATGATTTTATCAAAATTCAACTTAAAAACCATATCAAGTCAAGAGAAAATCGATATGACTTTATTTTGACGTCGTGGAAGTCAAAATGACTATATTTTGATGTAAAAGTCAAAATGATGATATCTTTTTGTCATATCAAATTTAATTCTTCATTGATATTAAAAATCAAAATAGTCATTTTGATTTTTTGTTGACTTGTGTTCCTTGGGTATAAAAGGAAGATATTTATTTATACTGCCTCCCAGTATATGTACTTTTTTACTCTAACTTACACTATTTCACTCTGTAATCTTAATAAGAGATTATAAAGTGAAATAGCATAAATTAGAGTGACATAGTATATATAAAGAGATAATACATATACCTTTCTCTCTCGCAGGATTTTAACAAAATCGCTTATCATCAGACTTTGTTATATAGGGTCTCCAGTTTAGGATAATGCCACGACGATACGTCTCTCGCTTTTGATAGGTTCGACGCCAATCGTCTTGCAGTGATAAATGTTTTTTTTTTTAACATTAGTAGTAAACGAGTTGAATAAAAACAGAGACATTAGCTGCAGTCATAGACTTTTCGTTGCCTTCTTACTTGCTGTAGTGACATATATATTGTATTAATAGCGACCCTGTACTCATTTTTCCTGTAACACTCGATGTAACGATTTACAGTAACTGCGTACATAGTTCTATACGCTCGATAAGGAAATAGAAAATTTTTATATATCTCTTTCTACCAATGTAGATTAATTTATTAATCCTCGTTTAATTTATTTTTTTTTAATTAGAAAAAGATAGAGTAAACTAAATCAAGATTAAAATTAAGACAAATTAAAAAAATTAAATTTAAGAAAAAGATCTTTGAGATTATTCAGTAAATATCAACTGAAACATAACAGTAGTGTTATAATTTTACCTAAAAAAATTATTGCTTATAATATATTATTGAATTTTAATCCGGTAAACACCAAATAAAAGTAATATAATGCCAGTGTTATAATGTCACACTCAACAATACAAATGTAACATAACACATGTGTACATAACTGCAGTAGCACGTAACAACAGTTGTATTGAATGTGAAATTATAACATTAATGTTATATTATATTCAGTTGATGTTTACTGGATTATAAATCAATATAATATTATAAATGATAATTTTTATATATGGTGCGAATTACATATTTTTAATATTAAATACAGTACGATAATTTATATTATACGAATAGTAGTTATTAAATTTATTTTACTTACTAGGAAAATGAGGACAGTGGAGACTTGTTTAATTCTTTCGTACAAATCCTTCATGTTTTCTCGTATTTATTATTTATTCTCTTAATGTCAGTCTAGAATGACGAGTATTTCTTAGTTTGCTAAAAAGCTGCAGGCGCTTCCTCGTTTCTTTCACGTTTCATTGGTAACTAGGGGACATTTAAGTAGCAAGCGGAACGGTCTCCAGAGTAACTCTGGCGAAAATCGATACAAGGGGTTGAATGCATCACTCATTCTCCTCACGAAAGCCGTCTCGAGCGAATATAAGTATCGTAGCAGTCTGATTTTTATAAGTCTCACGATATGATTTCATAATACTATGACGGACCGCATTTAAGAATAAATCTTCGAAGAACGATTAATATAAAGTATATGAACAAATCATATTTATGATGCAGATAAAGTAATGATTCTTATTTATTAAAAATATATCGTTTTGAAAGAACTTATAACTCTCGGTTATTACAGTTTTGCTTTTTTTAATTTTTTTTTACACACATTTTTTTATTTTCCATTTTACAAACGCTACAAACATGTTTGCTTGGAGTGTGGAACATTCACTGAAAACATGTTTGTTGAACTTTTAGATATGCTTTATGATAAAGAAGGATCATTATCTTTTAGTACACATGATCGTTCGTGTTCTGTGAACTTTTTTCTTTGAAATATTAGTAGTCTGGCTAAAAATAATGGTCCCTATCCCTTCCTTTTTTTAAAATACTTCTTAAAGATGTTAAAATATGTGTAGAAATTTTAATTGTCGTATACTTGCAAAATTGATAAAAATTAACGGGCAGGCACGAATCCATTTTATACTAAAATTCGAAAATTATATGTATTAATAGTTAACGCATTGAAGAAAGCTTGACGTTAGAATATAAAATATATTTTCAGTATTATGTAGTAATTTCAGGTAAAAGAAAATACATTAAAATTTATTATATTTTAATTTTGTATTAATAGTCAACTGCAAAAAATATTTGTTTACGGAGATGCACAGAAACGTTTAATTTCTTAATTACTATGCTTTATGTAACTTGAATTATATCACTGAAAAATACACACACAATAATACACACAATAATATTTAAATAGCTAAAGATAAAATATTTTTTTATTAATTTTCAAACGTCTATTATAATTTAATAATTACATAATGTCGATCTTTTTTTATTAGATCGAGTTAAATTTATTATATTTGATTCTATCGATGATCAGTAACATAAATTTCATTGTTTGAGGTCGATAAAATCACTGTGAATTGATAATACCTGACTGGATTAACCGATGTTTAGATTATCATCTGTGGGTAATTGTGATTTAACACAAAAATTTATTCAATAATACACCTATTCTTATCCTTTATCAATAAACATTTAGGTGTATGAAATATATTTCCAATTTTTTACAAATATATATATTGCACAAATAAAATCGCGAAGTAATCTAACAGGTTTCATGAATGGCTTTTGTCTCGCTTTCACAATACTGATGTGACGTAGCATATGAACAGCATATGAAGTAAGAATAATATATATTTTTTAACACATGGGTTATTCAGAAACGTCTGTGAATAGCGTTACGGTCATATTGTTTGCGTATGTTTTTCATGGAACGTGTACATTGTAAATCATAGCTGCCGATGCTCGTAGAAGTGTAGGTAGATATTGATTTCCGATTTCTGTTGTACGTCGTATAGCTATTGTTGGAGGATAATATTTCAACAAGGTGAATTCGAGTTGTTCGTAAAACTATTTTCGACGTACAATAAAATAATGCATTGTTATATCAAACAATTTTAATCATTTCTCCGACAGCGAGATATAAGGCGCGCAAAACCGCAAAATTCGCAAAATTTCTTTCGGACTTGTTCATTTCTGCGCGATAAGGCGAGTTGTTAAATTATATTCTTCTAAAGATTTAAAAGGAAACACGAGAAAATAATATTTCCATATTTATTAAATTCATGTTAACTTAATTGTCACGAGAGCAATTCCGAGAGAGATTTACTGCTAGTTAGTGAGAAGTTTGTTACCGGCAGAACATATATTTATCTACCGTTACAATTAATAATTAATTTGTTGATGCCCACAATTTACTGAAAGTTTCGTTCGTTAAACTAGCAGATTAATTTCGTCAGCGGTTTGTAAGACGGTAATTAATAGGTAATAGTATTAATATTGTCGTTAATATTATGAATATGTTCGTCGCTCGGAAGTTTGCATAATATAATAATTATTTTTCTTACACAATGCTTACTAGAATATTGATAACGTGATTTGATGAAACTCATGAGAGACTTATACACTATTTTAAACATTATTAATTTAAATTACGATACGAATGTAGACTTTATAAAGACTTTATAAAGACGCACAGGATACATCATTTTTTTAATAATTACGCATTAAAAATTAATATATATTTACTTGTAAATTTATAAATAGTCACAAGCAGGGTACACCTCTTACATAAATTTAATATTAAGAGTAATTAATTCCTTATTTTGAATATTAAAAGCTGATGTTCAAAATAATTAATTTGGCTTTTAGTATTCGGAATTAGTAATTTCCAGTATTAAATTGGATTCTGAAAGGATCGACAAAACAGTAAACCCCTGCCTGCCTGCCTCTCGGTTTATTCAAGGTCGAACCTAGGTAGATACGCATTTCCGACTGGTGGAGGGTCAAGGACAAGTTAATGGGGATTGATAGCGATCCCCTTCCAACGCATATCCAACTTTTTATGGACATCGTAACTTGTCTCGACAGATACCTTCACAGAAATCTAGTACCGGCCAATTTATTACTGAAAGACAGAAATTAATTATTTATTTGGTGTACTAAAAGTACTAAACAACAATGCTCTTAGTATCTAAAATAAGTAATTATGCTGTCTTTCAAAATATTGGCCAGTATTAGATTTCTGTAAAGGTGTTCACGAATATTCACAGAACCACAGATATTTGGATAAATACGTTGCGAGCTATAGTAAATTATATATTCTGAGCATGTATAGTGTTACATAACCCGCTTGCGTATTTGCGCTGTGAATTCTTTTCGTTATGCT